AGCTGCTGGTGAAATCAGGGTCCGTGAAGGTGCCAACACTGTTGAAACACTATCTACTGCTGCTCTTGGAGGAGTAATAGCCCTGGCTACAGCAGAGGATGTCGTAACAACCTTCGCCATAAATGTGGCAGACCGTCCAGCAATCTGAACTGAGGCAGTGCCCTTAAGCTGTGAGTTGCTGGTGATCTCAGAACTGGCACATGAAGTGGATAAAGAAGCAGGCACACTCGTCACACTGACAGGAACTCGCTGCAAGCAAGAAACAGGTCCTCCTGTATTCTCCGACTTGACAAGCGCTCCTACAAAATGATTTTGGAGATTACTGGCTGCTGGTGGCGTAGCTGGTCTCAGCTGAGAATGCAGCCATGCTTGTCCAGATATCTGGCTTGGCACCTGTGTTAATGGTCCCTTTGGTCTCTGTGTGTCTGCCAGCTGTCTGGACGGTTCTGATGAAATTGTGCATGGGAAAGGTCCATTTACCTTTACCTCTCCTGACAAAGGTCCGTTAGAAGTTCCACTACTTGATGTCTTGCATGAGGTCTCTGAATATAAACTATGGGCATTTTCTTCCTGTGCTGCGGCAGCACCAGGCTGCTGAGATACAGAGGAACCTGAAGAATTCTGACTATTGGTCCCTGAGGTGCACATAACATTGCATGTTGTCGGAGAAGGAGAGGGTGATTGTTTCTTTCCAGCTGTCTGATGCGCACTGTTTAACGAGTTGTCCGCTGAACACTGGGCTGTGACACAAGGCTTAATATCAGCCTTTTCTGTCTGTTCAGTGTCCCAAAATAATGGCATCTGCTTAGCAGATAAATGTTTCAATATGCTGCATTGAAGTGCAACAACACTACGAAGCCACTAGACAAAAGAAAAAAAAAGTTAAGAAGAAGAAATGGTTCAAAAGAAACATGGTACTTAGAACCACACAGCTGAACACCACACAATGAGTGCTGTACAGCAGAGCCGTAACTTTGTATTCTACTATATAATCTTTCATTTATAGAGGACGTATGTTCAGTTGAGCATAGCAGTTAACTGAAAACTTTAGGGTTTCACAGAAGAAAACATGATAGACATTTGATACAATTGACTGTATTACCTCCTGTTGTTCTTCTTCAGTAGCAAAGTGCTCATAGTTGGAAAGGTGCTTTTGTGACTCAGAAGTAGTCTCATTACATATCAGCTCTCCATCACGGATTCCTGCCGGTGGAAGGAGGGGTGGTGGATACTGGTACTGGGCCTTAATTGCTTCAGGAACCTTAAAAGAAAGGCAAGTGAAACCTGTTACATGTTGAATTAAGTTTAGAGGGTCATCAAACTGAGGCTGTAAAACATACAGACTCAAAAAAAAAAGTCATTTGCTGTAATTGACAAATTTTGTTTTAGTCAAGAACAATTGCTGATATTTGCAAGCCAACCAGATATTACTAGTTACTTTAAATTTTTCTGTCCTGATACGAAAAAGCTACAAATCCCAAGTCAGGAGGTATCCAGATCAAGCACTTTCTACTGTAAAGGCCAATTTTATTATATTTCATCCTTGCAACCCCTTCCACTCCCAACTACAGGTCACAAATAACTATCTTGGAAGAAGATTGTATTTATTCAACCACAAGAACAACTGATTTCACACTGAACACTTCTAGATAACTACCATCTGAGGAATATCATACACCTTCTTGCCATTTTTAACCTAAAAATCCATGAAAACGGTAAAGGTAGTTTCTAGTAGCAACTTGGTTTATTCGCCCAAACAAATCTTGACTTCAGAATTCTTAGTTTAGCCAATGTTATGACTTCATTTAGTGAGTCTCCTGAGGCAAGCTGATACCACAAGCACTTAAAAGTTACATACTGAAGTAAAAGTCCAAAGTCCATTTCCACTTGTGTATTTGACGACTGACAACCTCTCTTCAAGATCATGATACTCAACATGATTTCACTGATCAGGAATGGAAACGGAGTATCATGCAGCAGAAACTGGATCTCAAAGATTAACCTACATGCTATGCAATTATTTCTGCACTGCCTTTAAGTTGGCAGAGGTAGAATTATTTTTGACATTTCATAACATCTGCCAGTAAAACAAACTAGCGAATAGGTTTGGACTACAAATATACAAATTTCCAAAGAGATTTAACAGGTGCAAAGAAAACAGAAATTGATACATTCATAAATTCCAATGCAAGTCAAATTTGAGTGGTCAAATGTTAAAACAGTACCAATGAACTAGAAAGTCAGATTTATACTACTTCCCAGAGAAACTTCCTCAGTTCCTTTTTGAGCCATTTTTCATTCCTCTGGTAAAAGCACTCACTTGGTTAGGCAACCTGACTTGGAATGTGCACCCTTACTATGAGTCATTGCTAGACACGTTACAGCCAACTCTCAACGTGTAAATTCTTCCTCTTTTGACTGCCATTCTAACCTAATTAAATTACTTATCATTTGAAGGGGGAGGAAGAGAAGGGAACGGTCTTGCACAGGACTGTGTGTCCTCGATCACTTACCCAAAATTCTTAGCAGGAAAAATGTCATGGCAACCCAGGTAGCCTAAATAAATGATCATAGAGTGCTTAGATCAGAGGAACAATAATTAAACATTCACAGTAACTGAATGGAGACAATATTAACTGCAACAAAAGGAATTCCACTCAGATGTTTAGTTCCTCTGCAAATGTTACCTTAAAAAAAGGTAAAATAATATCCAGAAACAAGTACCTGTGTATTTCCAGTTATATTAGATGCAAAACCCATCTGCATTATCCTGTTTGAAATGGACTAAAATGTAATTCCTGACAGTTAATTGCCAGACCCATTTCTAAACACCTAAATATTAGATTATCTTTTAAATGCTAACATTCAGGTGGTGTGAAACAGTGATTGTAAATAGTGTAACAGAACCTTAACAGAAATAAAATTAAATCTAAGGGGTTTAAATGAAGAACATTAAATCTGAATTGTCTACCTGTCCTGTGTTTTATGCCAAGAAAATAAGCCAGCTTGTGTTACTCCCTAACTTGGACACTCTCAGGGCAATGTTAAAACCATGAATGGAGGTCAGCTAATAAGGATGTCTATATCCACACACAACTTCAAGAATATTGTGAAGTTATTTTTGTTCAAAGTACAGAACCCGTTCATATTTTAGTAGTACTTTGCTTTAAGTTAGTTTGCAAACAATAAATTGCAGAATGCTGTTAAATTACACCATTAATTCATTGATTCAGCTGTTACACATCAAATGGGAGATAATGGTTCTAAAATGTTAGATGTTCAATTGCTAAGCAGTGCTGAATCAATGTCCAGCAGGGATGAATTTACATGAAAGGAATATTAAATATTCATTATGAAAGATCTCAGTGCATACATATATTATTCTGCAACCTCTGCACTTCAATAACATACAGAGAAATCATTTTTCAAATATTCTTGGACATCATGGGACTAATCACCAACATTTTCCAATGGCATCAACTGACATTTTAGAAACACACCCAAACATGGGTAGAGAATTAACATCTACCCCGAGAACTCTACTCTGTAAAAATTACAAGGTAAATCCAACTTAACTACAAAATCTCAAAAGTAGCTTAATTTTCTCAAGCAAAAATTGCAAAATATAGGACAAGAAATTCATATTAAAACATGACTTACTTTCATTTTTTTCCTCTTCACTGGTTTTATATGTCGGCGGTTAGGTGGATGCTTCCTGTGGATCTTGTTTAAAAAGTCTATCTTGATTGCATGCTGAGATATTCGGTCTTGAAACTTGTCAAATATCCTGCACCTATTGCTCAATGTCATGTTCTTTTGATTAAGCTGAATGGAAATTAAGTTTAATTAGGTTCTATAGATATTTGACTCGAGTCCAAAAATTAACAGAAGCCAAAATTATCATCAATTGAAACTTTATCCAGTGTATTTATGGTGATCTACATTCATGTACAATTATCACTGGATGGTAAAACTCCAAAGTTTCTGAGAATCAATACATTGCACCACCAACTGGGGATAAATTTTTAATCCTTACTAAACTATTGCTTTTACCTTCAATTGTGCCACGGTGCTAAGTGAAAAGAGAATAGGTCAGAGTAAGTGTCACTCCAAACTCTGCTGTATTTCTTTATGGTAGCTCATGACACAATGGTACAGGTGCAAGAAAAAAGTGTTTGGGGTGTTAAGCTAAGCTAAGCTTCAAGTCGGTATAAGAAAGAATTTTAACTCTGTGCAAGTGCTACAATGGATGCAGATTCTAACCTGGGCAAGAAAGGACAAGCTACTTTTGTTAATTACACTTGTTGCATGGGCATATCTAGATTAGCATCAGGGTAGTCATAAATTTCGGATTTCTGTGAAATCCGAAATTTCTGCTCGTCGTTCTCATGTAACACATCAGTCATTATGTAATATCTTTAATATAGGATGATAAGACATAAATTGCAGGTTAAGATAAATTTCTACCAGTTACATTACATCTTACTCAACATC